GAAAATTAAATAGGAAGGGAGAGAGCGAGAGAGGAGAGGAGGAAGGCGGGGAGGGAGAAGTGGGGGGAGGGAGAAGTGGGGGAAGGAGAAGTGGGGGGAGGGAGAAGGGAAAGGAGTATCAAACCTGTGTCAGACTTGAGAGGTGCTTCCAGCCGTTTCTGAAGTGTGAGAGCCAGGGTCTGTTCAAATGCACATTTCCTGGCCTTGCAACTCTGTGGGGTGGAGCCAGCGTCTGCAGACTAGTGGCAGCCACACACACCCTCTGCCCACGGGAGACGGGCTCTGGTCTCACAGAACCTTGGAACTGTGGGTGAGGAAGCATGAATAGGCTCACGGGAAGCTAATTGCTTCCTTAATTGGCTGAACCCACGCTGGGGAGCCCTGCCCGGAAAGTCCCGGTTGCTGGAGGGATGGGACTGGTTTGCCTGGCGGCCAATAACGGGCTCCGCTGGAGGCTGCCCTGGAGGAGATAGTGCGGTGGTCCCAGAAGAAACAGCCTGAGGGGAAACGGCCGGGCCCCCGGGGTGCCCAGGAAGGGATTTAAACAGGCGAGCTGAGGTCCCGCAGCCGCCACGCCCTGCGCCCCGTACCCACCGCCCCCGCCGGCACATTCCTGGTTCTGCCCGCACCGGAGCCCCCCGGAACCCTCACTGCGCTATCCCAGGGCCGCTCAAGCCTGTCCTGATCTTGCTGGGCGGTGGCCTCAGGGCAGCCCCGGACCCCTAGAGGGGGAAAAGGGTCACGGAGAGGAAATCTCAAGTGAGCGCGTTCCCATGTCTACCACCAGGTGGCACCATCAGCACAGGGCAACCCTGGGGCCGTCCTGCGTGGCCAGGAGGGGAAGGGGGTGGCACCGTTAGTGGGGGACTTGGTGGCTCTGGGGTCTGAAGTCCGAGGGCTGCCTGGTTCTGTGCTCGTCTCTTTGAGGGACATGGTTGTGTCAAGGGCCTGAGCCTCCCAGAACCTCGGCACATGGTGGACATGGTGGAATAAATGTTGAAAATTGTGGCCGGGCGCCGTGGCTCACACCTGTAATCCCAGCACTTTGGGAGGCTGAGGAGGGTGGATCACTTCAGGTCAGGAGTTCGAGACCAGCGTGGCGAACATGGTGAAAAATCTATTAAAAACACAAACTAGCCAGGCGTGGTGGCATGTGCCCATAATCCCAGCTACTCAGGAGGCTGAGGCAGGAGAATCTCTTGAACCCAGGCGGAGGTTGCAGTGAGCCTAGATCGCACCACTGCACTTCAGCCTGGGCGACAGAGCAAGACTCCATCTTAAAGCAAAACAAATTGTGCCACCTTCGGGGTTTTTTTTGTTGTTGTTTTTATTTTTGGAGACAGAGTCTTGCTCTGTCACCCAGGCTGGAGTGGCTCACTGCAACCTCCTCCTCCCAGGTTCAAACGATTCTCCTGCCTCAGCCTCCTGAGTAGCTGGGACTACAGGCACACGCTGCTACGCCTGGCTATTTTTTTTATTTTTATTTTTTAGTTGAGATCGAATTTCGCTGCGTAGCCCCGGCTGGTCTGGAACTCCGGAGCTCAGGCAATCAGCCTGCCTCCACCTCCCAAAGTATTAGGATCACAGGTGTGAGCCACTGCGCCAGGCCTCACCTTTCTTTTCTGTTTCTTCCACATCTTGAAGATTCCTTTTGGCATGGCAGGGCTGACCTCCTGGAAACAGCGTAGCAGGGGAGGTCTTGTCATACCGTGGTATGTGTCCACTAGGAAATCCCCAGTCCCAGGTGTGCCTCCAGTCCCCTCTGTGACCCGGAGCAGGTCATTCACTCTGTTTTTCTCTCTCACTAAATAGGTCAGGTGAGGGGTATAATAGCTGCCCTGCGTGAAGGACCAGGTGAATTACAGGCGAGCGCAGCGGTTAAAGCCAGCTCCTGGGAGCTGGGACCCTGGTTCCACTGCTTCCTTGCTGTGTGGCCTTAGGCAAGTGGCTTGTGTTCTCTGAACTCCAGTTTCCTCATCTGCAAAGCAGGAGCAGTCATAACACCTCCCATACAAGGTTTCTGTGAGTGCCTGAGTACATGAAAAGCCTTTAGAACTGTGTCTGGCATCAAACAAATGCTTAAGAGCCAAAAATACAGGCAGCTGGAACTGAGAGGGGATTCTGGAGACGGGCCAGGCCAGGCTTCCAGCCCAGGCAGCCTGTGGGCGGATGGCCTCCAGGTGGGTCTGCCTGCCTCGGGTGGGGTCAGCACCACCCAGCTACGGGCCACTTCGAGGCACAAGAAGGCCCCAGAGGCAAACCCAGCTGCTCCTAGGACGGAGGCTACCCTTTCTGAATGTGGGGTGTTTGAGAGAGAGGATGGATCAGGCCCTCATTCCCCGGGACCCTTTCTGTCTCAGCTAAGCCCGCTCAAAGCATCATTCCAAGGGGGCTCCTCCTGCCAGTCGGCTCAGTTCCTCTTGGTGCTGGAGTCTTTGGGGAGGAAGGAAGTGATTTCCGCAGCCGAAGTGGGGGGGGGTCCTCTTCCCACGGTACTTCTCTTTCCTGCGCAGAAAGGAACGAGGAAGAGCTCAGGACCTCACCGTGTCCTGGCTGGAGGCCCCTCAGCCACCACTTGCTCACTGAGGCATTTGAAAATCCTGGAGGGAGGCCGGGTGCGGGGGCTCATGCCTGTAATTCCAGCACACTGGGAGGCCAAGACAGGCGGATCATCTGAGATTGGGAGTTTGAGACCAACCTGACCAACATGGAGAAAACTCTGTCTCTACTAAAAATACAAAATTAGCCAGGCCTGGTGGCGCATGCCTGTAATCCCAGCTACTTGGGGGGCTGAGGCAGGAGGATCGCTTGAACCCGGGAGACAGAGGTTGCAGTGAGCTGAGATTGTGACATTGCACTCCAGCCTGGGCAACAAGAGTGAAACTCTGTCTCCAAGAAAAAAAAAAAAAGATGCCCGGATGTGCCGCGGTTTTATTTCTATTCCTTTCTTGGCTCCTGAGGAGGATCAGGACCAGACACGAGGCCCCGACGGCATAGCCAGGGCTGCTGGGCTCCTCGCCAAGGCCTGTCCCTGCCTCTCCCTTGGAGGCTTCGTGGCTGCAGAGCGTCTCAGAAACTCCAAAATGAGCTGGGACCCTCAGCCGCCTCTTGTCCAGTCATGTCTGTGCTCCGCAGCCCAGGGCCTGCCTGGGGAGGGTGCAGGCCTCCTCCCACCCTGCCCCCAGAGCCTACCCCTCCGCTGAGGCCTCCTGTACAGCAGCGCAGTGTTGGGCACCTGCCTTCACGTCGAGCCTGGAGGAACGCCTCTCTCTGCCTTACACTCAGTCATCCATCCATTCATGCACCCCGTGGCCAGGCACAAGGAGGAGCAGGGAGGAAGACAGATAGGCAGCTCAGGCAGGCGAGCGTGGAAACCAGGTGTGCAGCAGGCTAGACCCAGACTCAGAGCTCCCGGGAGTCCCGGGTGCAGAGCTGGAGTGGGGGGGCACCATCACAGGCCAAGGGGCTTGTTGTCTGAGAGGGAGGAGCAACGAGCTGGCACCAGGGCAGGAGCAGAGGCTGCACTGCATTAGAAGAGCAGGCTCCCGTATTCCGAGGCAGCTTGGCACTTGGCTGCTTCCCGGTGCCAAGTCATAACAAGACTTGTGGAGGCACAGACCAGTGCTTTTCCAATGCTCCCTGTGTGCCCCGAGGCATTAACATCAGGTCTATCACCATGGCATTGAGGTGCTTAGACAACCTGCTACCCCCAGGAGCCGGGAGTAGCATGAAGCAGCCAATCTGTGTCTTGCTGCGACATATGCGAGCATGTATCACTGTAATGGATCAACAGTCAATATTACTGGGGTCCCTGCCCGCCCCCTGTGCGGTCAGAAATGTCTCCTGTTCTTACGTCTTCCTCCCTCCGTGGGCGGCCCCTGCTCTCGCCAGCCTCCCGTGCTCTTGGCGTTGGTGGAAACGTCTTTCTGCTTTCATTGTCCATGTTTGGAACAGCCCAGGGAAAAGCACTTGTGTAAAGAACCAAACTGGCCCTCCTGATGTCATCCCTGGGGGCTGCAGCCAGGCACATCTGAGCAAGTGGCATCGGGATGGGAGAAGGCTTGGGCATCATGTGGCTGGCAGTTCCAATGCCTGCCCCACAGAACTGCCCTGATCCTGGGCAAGTTGTTTTGCTTCCTGGAGCTGTGGTCTTCTCTTTTGTACAATTGGGATCATCATATTTATCTGGTGAATGAAGGGACGCCGCAAAGAAGGGAGGTCAGCGCTCAGCATATGCTGAAACTCACACGTTCTCGCCTGCGTCCGCCATGTACCAGGTGCCTCCAGCTCCACCACTGATCACCACACCCCAGCCCCTTTCCTCTGTCACTCCAGACACGCAGGCAGATGTGTGCGTGCCCAGTGTGCCGAGAGTGAAAGGCTCCGAGTCTGCTGGGGACGGGGTCCCAGCAGCAAACAATTCCTGTCCCAGGCTGACGCTGCTAGAGAACAGAGGCTGTGACCTGCAGCCAGTGGGGAAGCAGCCCACGTGTCTCACACTTGGAGGTCGAGGGAGCTAAGGTTTAGGGAAGCCACAGGGAAGAGCTGATGTTAGAGATGGACTGGAGAGGAGGCATCTCCTGGACCTCTGCAGGGGACCCACAGAGTCCCTTGCTGAGCGAATGATGGGCAGCCTGCCTTTCGCACCCCCTAGGTGTTTGGCCCTCTCTGGGGCTGTGAACATGAGGCTCCTGCCCTTCACCCCAGCCTCCCTACCAACTCCCACCAAAAAACCTACTCTTTGGTAAATACGTGATTAAAGGATTCTCAGAATATTCTAGACAAGTTTGTGTGAACATGCCTGTGGTCATTTTAAAACTGTTCCAGGCCAGGTGAGGTGGCTCATGCCTGTAATCCCAGCACTCTGGGACGCCGAGGTGGGCGGATCATGAGGTCAGGAGTTCGAGACCAGCCTGGCCAGCATGGTGAAACCCCGTCTCTAATAAAACTACAAAAATTAGCCGGGCATGGTGGCATGCACCTGTAATCAATCCCAGCTACTGAGGTAGGAGAATCGCTTGAACCCGGGAGGTGGAGGTTGCAGTGAGCTGAGATCACGCCACTGCACTCCAGTCTGGCGACAGAGTGAGACTGCGTCTCAAAAACAAAAGTGTATCAGAAGTGAGAGGCTAAACCAGAGCCCGAAGTTACTCATGGAAATCCCATGACCCCTCTGCATGGTCACCAGTGTCTCCTGGACAGGGCCCCAGCTGCAAAGAGCCCGAGAAGGGGTGAAGCCCACTGGGGCTTGGACTGGGTCCCCACCCCCAGCTCTTCTTCGGGCTGTGTGGCCTGGACCAGTCTCAGTGCCAGGTTCCTCATCTGGCGGCCACCCCTGCTGAGCTGTTCCCGCTTTGCTTCTGAGCGGAAGGTTGGGGCTGCCAGGGAGGAGTTTCGTGGGGAAAGCAAAGGGGAAGCTGTCAGCGCCGGCTGCCAGCCGTCCCCTCCTGTGAACTAAAGAGTCGCCTTGGACAGGCAGGCCCCCGGATGGAGAGCCAGCCTCCGAGGTGGTGGGCACTGCCCGGCTCCGCACACCCTCCCAGGCCCCCCACGGCCCCCCAGCTCCTCCTTGGCCTGCTGCTGTTGCCCGGGACCCTGCAACTGGCAGGTATAGCATCCATCCTTCTCTCTACTCTCTCGCTCCAGAACATCAGAGCGGCTTTCATCCAGCCCCGTGCTGCTAATTCCCAGGGACCTGTCTCTGGGGATTTGCTGGTTGTCATTTGAACGCTGCAGACTTCACAGGGGAAGCCTTCAGGGACTGAGAAGATGTTTAGCTAATACCTCGCCAAGGTGGCTTTTAAAGGGGCGGGGGACAGCTTCCCCCCAGCAGTCTGGCCTCCTGGCCCTTAAACAAGGAGGGTGGGCGCTGTGTGGCTGGGGTCAGGAACTCGGGCAGTGGGGAAGGACGGCTCCCCACCCGAGGAATCTCATGTGGCTGATGCGGTGGAGCCTGCGTTGAACCTGGCAAGAGGCGGGGCCTCGCTTGGGGGTTGTTGCCAGTGTTGGCCAGGGAGAGAGGGGGATACCAGGGCCAGCAACCAGGAGCTGCGCCCAGAGGCACAGAACTGTCAGTCATTAGAAAGGGTCGTACCTCCCGGTTCCTGAAATAAAGTAGAGGCCAAGTGTTTCAGGATGTGAGCATGTGTCTTTCCACGCCAGCGGCACTCCTTTCCTGGTCCCAGGCTCTCTCGGAAGCTGCGTGGCCAGAATCCGAGCCAGGCTGTGGGGTAGGTGGCCTCAGGGCCAGTTCATCAGGCTAGGGAAGGGCCAGGAGGGTCCCATTCCAGGGATGCCAGCACCAGGGCTCAGTGAGTTCTGCCAGATTCTCTCTGCCCCTCCTTGGCAGGGCAGCAGCCAACCCTTCCTCTGGTCGAAGGGTGGCCTCCACTGTGGAGCTGCTTTCCCTTCTATTCTCTTAGAGTTGATGAGGCTTCCAGGAGCTGCCCCATCTGTCCTGCTGCACCCCCTCTCACTACCACGAATTGGCCTTTCTGGGGCCCTTAACAGGGCAGGCACTAGCCACCTTGGGGCCACTATTGTCCTCACCCGCACCATTTTAAGGACAGGGAAAAGGAAGCCCAGGGAGGCCAGTTCATTTGCTTAAGGCTGTTATAAGTAAAATTTTCAGTACCGCAAAAGAAGTAGCACTCGAATATAAATTTCCTCAGCAAGGGTGCAGCTCAGCCAGGCACGGTGGCTCACGCCTGTAATCCCAGCACTTTGGAGGCTAAGGCAGGTGGATCACGAGGTCAGGAGCTCGAGACCAGCCTGACCAACATGATGAAACACCATCTTATTAAAAAACAAACAAAAAAAATTAGTTGGGGATGGTGGCACATGCCTGTAATCCCAGCTACTCGGTAAACTGAGGCAGGAGGATCGCTTGAACCTGGAGGCAGAGGTTGCAGTAAGCCGAGATCGTGCCACTGCACTCCAGCCTGGGAGACAGAGCGAGGCTTGGTCTCAAAAAATAAAAAATAAAAAAGAGTGGTTCACAGATGGAGCAACAGTGAGCACACACACAGGTAAGGGAGGGAAGGGGCACTTACGCCTGACACAGATTGCTCTACTGCTGTGTCATTCCCCTATTAAATTCCCTTTTATAACAAGGCCTAGCTGGTAAGTGAGGCCAGGCTCAGCCCCAGGTTGGCCTCAGCCCCAAGCTGAGCCCCTCAGCCAGTGGGCTCAGGGGCTCCCCTTACCTTTGCAAAGAATGTTCTGCCGGGCGCTGTGGCTCACGCCTGTAATCCCAGCTCTTAGGGAGGCAGAGGCGGGAGGATAGCTTAAGCCCAGGAGTTCGAGACCTG